GTGTTTTTGAAAGATATAGAAAAGGTTATGGCAGGTAACCCAGATGCATATAGTGTCTTGAAGTGTAAGCTTGAAAACTTGCCAGAGAATGTTGTTGTGATTGGCTCTCATACCCAGTTGGACACTCGCAAGGAGAAGGTAAAAGGCTGAGGATTTTATCAGTTAGCTGATTTTGAACTCATTCTTGTAGTTTGACATTAAAGCATTATTTTATGTTTGCAGTCCCATCCTGGTAGCCTTTTGTTCACGAAATTCGGCTTCAACCAAACGGCTTTGCTTGATCTTGCTTTTCCGGTATGTGAGTTGCCATTATATTTTCCATTTTGTTTTTCTTGGTGGCATATAATGCTAATTCAAGTTTTATCCACTCATATCTGCATCTATAATCATGCTGATTCTGTAACTGTATTCTCATCTGATTAATTTAATTCTTAAATCTGTTTCCTGGTTGATTTATATTGAATTCTGTCTCACCCTTTCTCTTGCAACCGTACACAAATTCCCCAAGGTCAATTGAAACGGTGATGAGGGGGCTTTGTTCACTTTGAAATATAAATTCAACCATATTTTCTCATCAGTTAGGATCACATCTGTATCAGTGCACTTTTTTTTTTCCAGCAGGGAGTCTGGAATTTGTCGTCAATGTTTATCACTAGTTGTTACCCTCTTGTTCATAGATGGTACTTTCCTTCTTAAAATGACACATTTATTGGTTGTGTTCAGGATAACCTTGGTGGTAGGCTGCATGATAGGAGCAAAGAAACTCCTAAAACTATGAAGCAACTCTCTCGGATTTTCCCCAACAAAGTGACCATACAGCTGCCCCAGGTAATCAGCCTTTTTTTCTTGTATGGTCATTGTGCTACTTGTTATTGCTTGAAAGAGGTAATATTTGTCGGCTATCCTGGCAGGATGAAACTTTACTTTCAGACTGGAAGCAGCAGTTGGAGCGTGATGTTGAAACTTTGAAAGCCCAGTCAAATATTGTTACCATTCGCTCAGTAAGTACATCTGATCACATATGCTATTTGTTCCTATTGTTCTTTCTCTTAAATATGTTTCTCATGTATACTGTTCTTACACCCTCTTGCGAACTTATTAAATCACAAGGAATTGAAGATTGATGCATATGTGCTTGCTAACAGCATATGCAGCGTGATCACATCTGCATCTTAGTGGCTAATGTAGTGTTTACTGCTGTCAATGCTATTCCTGTATATTTACATAAGGCTGATGCTTTCAGGTTCTTAACCGAGTTGCTGTGGATTGCCCTGACCTTGAAAGTCTCTGCATTAATGATCTAGCGCTTGCAACTGAAAGTGTGTTTTCTTGAACTCAAATTTTGTAGTGCATAACATTTTGCAGGGAATGCTGACTTAAATATTCACTTATGCAGTTCATTGTATAATCTTTTCTTTAACAGGTGTTGAGAAAGTAGTAGGCTGGGCTATTAGTCACCATCTTATGCATTGTTCGGACGCTTTAGTTAAAGATGACAAACTTGTTATTTCTACTGAAAGGTTGTACTATTTCTTAGGACAGTAGTTTAAACATACGGTCTATTATGTTTTCTAATCATATTTTATGATTCTATGCTTACAGCCTTAAGGATGGACTAAACATTCTACAAGGCGTTCAAAATGAAAACAAGAGCATAAAGAAATCACTTAAGGTATGTTGATTATTCTGATGTCATACCATAAATGCCTTGCTTCCGACTTTCTGAAGATGAAACATAAACTAGTTTTTCTATGATCAAGAATTTAAGTGCATATTGTATTGGATTTAACTCCATGATTTTTCAGGATGTGGTTACCGGAAACGAATTTGAGAAAAAACTTCTTGTTGATGTTATTCCACCGAGCGATATTGGGGTTAGTTTTGATGACATCGGGGCCTTGGAAAATGTGAAGGACACCCTAAAGGAGTTGGTGATGCTTCCTCTTCAGAGGCCTGAATTGTTTAGCAAAGGACAGTTGACTAAGGTACAAACATGACATACTTTTCGCTTCTCTGTCTTTCATTCTCCCCTGCGGAAAGTGAAACAGTACTACGTTGGTTCTTGTCTTTCATATTTCTCTTCTGATTACCGTTACTTCTTCTACAGCCTTGCAAAGGAATCTTGCTATTTGGTCCTCCGGGTACTGGAAAAACTATGCTTGCAAAGGCTGTTGCAACTGAAGCTGGTGCAAACTTTATTAACATATCAATGTCAAGTATTACTTCAAAGGTATTTTTGCATATTATCGTGGTGGTTGGATGTTTGTTTTGTGACATCTCTTGAATCCATATGACACCTTTTAACATTTTTTTTGCAGTGGTTTGGGGAAGGAGAGAAGTACGTTAAAGCAGTGTTCTCCTTAGCTAGTAAAATTGCCCCTAGCGTCATTTTTGTTGATGAGGTTGGTTCAATGCATCCATATATTTGCGCTATGTTCAGGGAACTTCTTATTTCTTCTCTTCCCTTGAGTTTTCTCGAATCGGAAAATGATATTTATACAAGGAGTTTTCTGGAACTGTTTTACAAGCTCACATGATGGGCTATGCAAGAGACCATGTCAGTTTATGAAAGTTTTTATAGAATCCTTTGTTCATGCGGTTTCACTCAATTTTATTCCTGTGCAAATTAATTTTTTATGGTTACCATTGTAGGTTGACAGCATGTTAGGAAGACGTGAAAATCCTGGGGAACATGAAGCTATGCGTAAAATGAAAAATGAGTTCATGGTGAACTGGGATGGTTTGCGTACAAAGGATAAAGAACGTGTATTGGTACTTGCTGCTACTAATAGGCCTTTTGACCTTGATGAGGCCGTTATTAGGCGGCTTCCAAGGAGGTAAAATCGCTGGTTTGATTGTTCTGCTGCTACTGCATCTGTTATATGTCAGTGCAAGTATCATTGACTTCCTGTGTACAAAATTAATTTGATGTGCAGATTGATGGTGAACTTGCCAGATGCCCAGAACAGAGAGAAAATACTGAGAGTTATATTAGCCAAAGAAGATTTGGAACCTGACGTTGATTTGGAAGCAGTTGCAAACCTTACGGATGGGTATTCAGGAAGTGACTTAAAGGTTGCCGACTAATTTTTCTGAAACCTATCCATGCTGCTTACGAACGTAGTTTTATTTTAATGGTTATATTCTATGTAGTTTTGAATATTTGTGTAATCGGTTGTGTCCCCATTTGTTGTGCTTGCAGAATCTGTGTGTTGCTGCAGCTCACCTCCCCATTAGGGAAATTTTAGAGAAAGAGAAAAAGGTTGGTTTGCAGTGTATTTTTGGTTTTTGAATTCGAAGTGGTGTGCTACAACTAAGTAGCTCTTTCTCCGCATATCGCAGGAGAGAAGTTTAGCTTTGGCGGAGAACAGACCTGTACCCGAGTTATACTGTAGTACTGACATTCGTCCTTTGAAGATGGAGGACTTTAAACATGCACATGAGCAGGTACTTTGCGATCTACTATTACTATTTGTTGTAGTATTCTGTGGTGGTCGGAAGCGTTCAGTTGTGTTTCGGAGCTTTGCCGGTCTAATATCGAACTCCATGCAGGTATGTGCAAGTGTGTCATCAGAGTCGACAAATATGAACGAGCTCCTCCAATGGAATGACCTATATGGCGAAGGCGGATCAAGAAAGAAGACGTCTCTCAGTTATTTTATGTAGAATAGGTATTTTTTTCGGTGTACAGAAGTTCTTTGTTCTGTTTATTCTTCCTTATCGAGCTTATAAGGCGTGGCAAGAGATAATCCATGGAAAATCCCGGCGAAGGTCACGCCCCCATTTGTATGATATATATAGGTTTTCTCTTCTTCATTTTCGCCCGTTTCGATTTATATTTTAACTTATCAGTTAGGAATGTCGTTCCAAATGACTTCTCTCTTTGTTATGGGTCCTCCTTTTGCCTGTACGTACTAACTGATAAGTGGAAAACATTTTGCAATGTTCTAATATTTGCTTATTTGTGTCGGTTGGTGTACGGAATAGCGATGTTTAGATTGCTTGAATAGGTCCTGCTTTTGTTAACCAAATGTAGGGAGAATTATTAACAATCTGAACGCTTGAATCGGCGACTGAAGAAGCCGGCAAGTTGGGTGGGTGAATAGCCTTCACTTGCTCTTTTTGCTCTATACAATTTGCATGGAAGCTTTAGTTGGGTTCCAACTTTACACAAACTAAGGGTTTCGACCGATTTCTCATTTACATGAGTCGAGGGTTCGGATTTTCTGTTTTTAGGCTCCGGACACTAGATTCGAAGAGGATTCAAATTTCAATTTTGTGTTCAATCAACAGAATCCAAACAACCAAAACAAAGTTGAAACCAAACGAAACTAAGTTCCTAACATCAACGTGATTATCCCGTGAGTTAAGTTGGCACGAGCAATGTGTCGGTCTCCATCCCTCAGATGTATAAGTTAGTATCGGACTTATTCATATAAGATATTTCACTTATATCTTTACTAATTAATAAAACACTCATTGTCAACCAAAATCTTATGAAATTACCAGTTCAACCTTCTAATTAAAACAGAACATGAATAAGAAATATGGGATATAAATATAATTTCACACAACCAAATTTGCTGTTTTTTTTTTCAAAGTCTCACTTACCTGTAATCCTAACATATCTTTAATTAAAAAAAAAAAAAAAAGAAAAATTCACACATTTTGTGCATGCCTATATGCTAGTGTGAATAAAAAAAACAAACAAAAAAATCCATGTCAGCATGTAGCACTGATAAATAGGGAGGTATGCTCTCTATTTATGTGGTCACGATTAAGACACGTCAATATTTTATATTCTTATTACTTTTTGTTTTATTATTTCTATAAAAAATTAATATAAAATATTAACGTAATTTAACCGTGACCACACATCATACGACATAAAGGAGCACAGAAATGGAAGGCAGACAATCCACGTCCTGATAAATTGACGAAGGGTGTACGGTTGTGCAGATAGCTGACTCAGACTGCGTAACGTGACGATTCGCATTTGCATTTAGTCCACCGCGCAAATCCAAACTTCCAGAAAAAACAAATCACGCAACCAAAGCGCGACGTCGCCGCCGAAGGACCTCCGAATCCATGGACCTCATGTCTCATTCCTCCGCCTTCCTCCTCCCTACGATCCCGCCCAACCAAACGCCGTCTCCCACCTACGCGCTCGTCTTTCTCAACCAGAGCCTCCCGAGATTCGCTCCTCTGCTCTGGAACCACGGTACTTATCCTCCACCTCTCCTTTTTCCTCTTCCTTTTTCAAATTTTCAGCTTTCGATTTTGTTTCTCTGAGCTTTATTGTGGTGCGTGTTGGTGTAGAGCAGCACAACTACGTATGTGTGCCGACGGCGGTGCCAATCGCGTTTACGACGACATGCCCCTTCTGCTCCCGCACGAAAATGCCGTAGATGTTAGGAAAAGGTTTATTTTTTTATTTTTTTCTTGATTTTTAAATTATTTTTTTTGGGGGAATTTTACTGTAAGTAAATTGTGTAAAGTATGGCTTTTGATTGATTCGATTCTTCAACTGTGTTAGCTTAATTGTAAAAGTTGATTGCTTTTTGAAGCTGTTTAAATCCGTTGTTTTTGCTTTTTCCAGACCGCTTTTTGTTGTTTGAAGCAATTTCTGCTTAGTTGCTTAATTTTTCTCGAAATTTTATAATTCTTTAGCTATCTGTTGAAGTTTTGAATCTTTAGTGGGGTGCTCTTTGGAAGGCATATGGTGGAGTGTAATTTTCCCTTGTGTTTATGACGACGAATTTCCGCTTTTTGATACTAAGTGCTGATGTTTGTGCCAGGTACAAGCCCGATGTTATTAAAGGCGACATGGATTCAATCCGAAGGGATGTCTTGGAATTTTATGCTAGTATGGTAAGTGAGCTTGTTTGAACAAGAATCTTCTGCGTAATTCTTAGTATGTTCAGCTGTCATTCCTTGTCATATCTAGCAAACTTGTGGAATTGTTTGTTAATGTTGTCATCCTTGGAATTATGTTGCATTTGATGTCGCGGTGGTACTGTTGCTAATTGATTTGCATACATGCGGTGCTCTGGAGTTTTCTCAGGATGTCTCTTTTGCTATTTGGATGCAGGGAACTCAAATTATTAATGAATCTGAGGATCAGGACACGACTGATTTGCATAAGTGTATAGCATACATATGTGACTCGGCACCAAACCTAGATAAGTCTAATGTATGTTGTGTATTATTATCGTTCCAACATTCGTTTTGTTTTTCTGCTTTGGAATTTAGTCTGATTTTGTAGGTGCTTTAGTAATACTTTCAGTAACTAAAACTGTGTATCCTTACAACTTATTGTGAGTTGGTTTGGGTAGTCAAATTTGTTGATTACAGATATTGACACTTTGCTAAATAGACTGCTAGTTTGTTTTTTACCTCTATACATGAACTGAGTTTCTTCCCGATGTATTGCCAGCTATGCATTCTGGTTGCTGGGGCACTTGGTGGACGGTTTGACCACGAGATTGGAAACATCAATGTGTTATGTCGATTCTCAAACATTCGAATAACTCTCATATCTGATGATTGCCTCATCCATCTTCTTCCAAGAACACACCGCCATGAGATCCATATTCAGTCTTCTGTTGAGGGCCCTCATTGTGGGCTCATACCCATTGGGATGCCATCGGGAAGTACTACAACTACTGGGCTTCAATGGGATCTCGGTGAGTATCTCTTAAGGGTGTAAGGCTAGTTAATGCTTACTTTAGGGGTTCGCTTTTCATATACTTTTCTAGTGACCTCTTCCTATTCTGACCTGCTTAAATGTGACAAAAAAGGGAAAAGGCGTGCCTAGTATTGGTTTCATTGATCATGTTTGAGTTATCTAACAGCCCGTGTATGGCAAGATTGTGGTCACATAACCTAATTCGAGTGGGAACCGTATTTGCAAGTCACAAGTGGTTTGTTGGTGGGAACTGTATTGAGACTTGGGTTGAGGGCTTTCTTTTACAGTGGTATCATTGGGATGACATATGGTGAAAACTTGTTATCTGTTCGTAGCTGTGCAATTTATTGCCAGAGCCTAACTCGCTCTTACTTTTCTTTTCCAGCTGAAGCGGAGATGAGGTTTGGTGGTCTGATAAGTACATCAAATATCGTCAAGGGAGAGAAAATAACAGTGCAGTCAGATTCAGATCTTCTTTGGACTATAAGCATTAAAAAGATGTAGTGCATTTAGAGATGAGGTGGGCACAGCTGCGGAACCCACAATCTATTTCTTCCGTTTCCAGGGTTTCTTTCACTTGGCTGTGTAAGTAGGTTTTCGGGTTCCATTTTCATTGGTTTTTGGCGATCCTTATACGAAGAACATTGCGTCATGTTTTCGCTCCCCTCTTGAATTCTGTAACGTTGTTTAAACTCCATCTATATCATATTGTATTTTTGTAATTATTCTAAATAAAAGTCATATTGACTATGTAGAAGAAGATGTTGGAGTCCTTCTGCAGACAATCTTTTGCAAATTTGTGTTCTTTTCTCAATTTCGGCTTAGATTTTGTTGTCACATTTCCTTTTCTTGTTGCCCCCAGTGGCACCAACATTGACAAAGAGCCTTAAATTGGGTGTAGACACCTGGGGCTAACGTTTTGACGAAAATTCTAATGGAGTTGACGAAAAAGCTCATAGCTGCGCATTTTGATGAGTTAAAGGATCAATGATTAAATATTTTTAGTTGAGGGATCATTGCATTAATTGAGTTAAAAGTTGAAAAATCATTACTATAATTTCTTTTATTCTATTAACTATAAATGTAATTGTTTGTTAGATCTGAAGTGCCCCGTAAGATTTTTCCTGCTCTAATAGAATTGAGCAACTCACTCTAGAAGTTTAAAGTTTTTGCCCACTCTTTAAATTTTGAGACTCACTATCTGACGAAGATTTTTTTTTCAGTTATTGAAAGACGCCATGTCAACTTGTCCTAAACAAAATTATTTTCGTCAACTCAATTCTTATTATTAAACGATGAAAAATAATAAAATATTCAACTCAATTCTTATTATTAAACGATGAAAAATAATAAAATACCAAAATTTTTGTAGAGTCGGTTGGAGCGTAATTTTAAAGTAGCAAAATTTGAGATTCATTTGGATGTGGTTTTAAAATAAGAAGTTTTAACGAAAAGTTCGCGGTACTGTTCATTTTAACGAAAAATCATATTTTTATACTAAAAAGTCAAACCTAGTATTAGTCATTTTATCATTTATTTTGTTCTTATCGTTAAAACTTAAAGTTTTCAAGCCATTTTCATTAGTTTTCCTTTTAAAATAACTGAAAGCGTTTTTAAAGAAAATATTTTTGGATTTTAAAAGCATTTTAAGTGCTTTATGCAAGAAACACCAATTATGTGTTTATTTCAGGAATCACTTTAAGTGTTTTTTTAAGATTACTTACATTTTTACTAAAAATTTATTCTAAAAATATTTCCACGAAAATCGTTTTCAATCATTTTAAAAGGATATCTAGACGAGCTATTAGTCTTCAAATTGTTGGGTACGTTAACAAATTTGTATTGTGTTTGAAGAGTTACGTTTGATGACGAGGGCTGAAGGGTGAAATAGGCCAACTTTTTTGTTTTGACTTGTAAAAAACCCGCTCGATACCCACTCAGCTCAGAGAGAGAGAGGGCAAGTGGAAGCTGAAGCCTGCCGCGAAAAGCTCGGTCCTTCTTCGCGATCCAAGCCTGTGTACTGGTAATCTTCTACATTCTTCAGCTAGGGTTTTGTACCGCATCATCGTCTTCTACCTAAGAACTCTTCCTGTTTCATAATTTTCAATTTCTTTTTTTTTTAAGGGTTTTATTTTATTGCTTTTTTGCTTAATTTCTCTGCCTAGTTTTTTTGCAGGCCTCTTGATTTTCCTTGGTTCGATTTCTGAGCCCTAAAAAATGGTACGCTACTCTCCCTGATTTCTTGTTTTGTGATTTTTGTTTGGTTTCTCGGAAAACGGAGGGAATTGAGCTGAAATTGTATGAACCCACACAAATCTTAGGGCTTTTTCCCCTTTTGAGCTTGAAATTTTGGATAGTTTTGCTTCACTTTGTTGATTTTCACTATTGCAGCTTCCTCTTTCTTTGCTCAAGACTGCCCAAGGGCACCCTATGGTAAGATCTTGTATTGTGCCTTTATTGTTTGTGATGATTCTGGAGTTAATATCACAATTTGACATAACCCCATTTTTTCAATTTGTTGTCTACTGAGAATTGTAATTTGCTGGTTTTCGTGTGCTGTACCAGTTGGTAGAACTGAAAAATGGGGAGACTTACAATGGGCATTTGGTCAACTGTGATACTTGGATGAACATCCATCTTCGAGAAGTTATTTGTACCTCCAAAGTAAGGGTCGTTTCACTCATATTGTTAAGTTTTGGTAAACTTGAATTGTTATATTATGATGTTACGAAGAATTGCTTTAAATTTTTGTTGGAATACTGTGTAGGATGGAGATAGGTTTTGGAGAATGCCTGAATGCTACATTCGTGGGAATACTATTAAGTACCTTAGAGTTCCCGATGAGGTATGCTTTGTGCTTGCTATAAACTTTTTGTCTTTACTATTCCAAGAATTCAATTTCTGTCATCAGACCTGAAATATAGTTCATGCTGGTTATGGACAAAAAGTCTGAACAAAAGTTTGATTATGGTTTGTGGGGGAGCTATGTGTAACTTTATAAAAATACTGACACAAACTTGTTACGTTTTGATCAATTACTTATGTATAGTGTACAATGATAGCACGTGCATTAGGAGTTTTGATTTCATCGTGCTTTATTTGCTCTGATTTTGTTCGAATACTATAGAAGCTTATTGGACTGATCTAGTGCTGTTGCCTTTTGTATTTCAGGTGATTGACAAAGTCCAGGAAGAAACCAAGAATCGTTCAGGTACAATAATTTTATCTCATTTGGTAGTGTAGACCTTTTTATTCTCTGTCCCTGCATCTAGAATGGGTAAAGTAGGCTTCTTGGACCATTCTTTATATGAATGCCCTCGACATTGGACAACCATCTACATTATGTACAGGATATAGCTTTATCCATTGAGAAAACTACTCTCTAACTTTGCGAGCTTTGATAAACTTCCCCAGATAGGAAACCACCTGGAGTAGGGCGTGGAAGAGGAAGAGGTAGGGAGGATGGTCCTGGTGGACGACAGGCTAAAGGCATTGGACGTGGCTTGGATGATGGTGCTAAAGGAGCTGGTGGAGGCCGAGGCAGAGGTGGACCTGGTGGGAAGGCCGGTGGAAGCAGAGGTAAACACTTGTTTCTCATCCGCCCCTTTCTACAGAGACCCTGATAAGTTCATAGCTTGTAAGTCATATCATTATGAATCCATGTACTGGACTCAAGGTTTGTTATCTTTGTTTTTCTGTCAGGTGGGGGTCGAGGCCGAGCTTGATTCAGCTTTAGAGAGTGAAACAAACAGCTAGATGGGCAATTTTGCTACTTTTAAAGGCATTTATTTAGCCCAACGCGTGTGTCAACTGCTGGGTTTTTGTCGTTGTAAGGAAGGCTTCTTATCATGGTAATGCGATTTATATGGAATGGTTCTTTCAGTAAAAACGTAGCCGATGTGTTTCTGTTCTGTAAGAAATGTATTTTGGTATCCGTTTGGCGAGTTTGAAAAGTTGACGTTGACGATACATATTCATCTTTTCACTCTTATTACAATCTGTCTTGGAGGCATTATCTCCAGTGTGGGATGGTAAACTTTAATTAGCAGTACGCGGAGGTTTACCACTCCACCTCTCGATCGGTAAAGGTGGTAAATAGTTGGAAAATTAAACAAGTGACATGAATTCGATTTTCTTCGGATCAATCTCTCACCTGTTTCCATTGAAACTTTAAAACATTGTAAATGGTGAATAAATCATACAAATATGGTACAGGCGACCACTATCCTTACCGAAACAGAAAATCAAGAGATCAAAACATCTTTTTTCTAGTAGGGTTGGTGCCGTGTTGTGTTTCGGGTCCTACATGATCTTGAAACCAGTGTGCTTGAAATCCATGATCGGTTTATCTCGGGTGAGTTATCTGATAACCAGCAACATAACCGGCCATCTTCACCGCCAGTCCATCCAAAAATGCCGTGACCTTGGCTGGATCCGCTGGGCGTGCTTGACATTGGCAACACGCTTCGAACAACGCCTGTATGTCCACCTCCAAGAACTGCTTCAGCGGACCCTATAGCATTGTTTCCTTCATAACTTACGGGGAAGCAACCTAAAGTGCCAGTATCAGTGCCACCAATTACCCATAACTTGTTTGCTTCTCTTGAGTAGTGGCAATCAACAAAATAATTGACCTGCCAAACGGAGTTTACTTGGCTTGGCTAAAAAGAAAAGCACTTTTCTACGCTAAAATGATGGCACGCAAACAAAGTTTATCGATATCCTCCAATTTAACAGCATACAAGATACATATCAAACGAATAATATGAGATTTTCAAATAAGGTTAATCACATAACTAGTTGACTAAAAGAGCAGAATCTGTTAGAGAGAACGACTTACATCGTCTAGTGTCCAGCCTTTAGAAGCCAGAGAACGAGCATCCTGGAAACTCGTTTCGGTTGCATCTTTCCAGTCCCAGATACTACATGAGCGGTTATCAGGTTACAAGTCAGGGAAAATATAAGCAGCACAAATACATGTTTGTACTCAAAAGCCAAGACATCTGTCTTAACTTCGATCCTGTTTCCCGAGTTACTCCACTTGGGGTAGAAGATGCAAATCACTAACCAACCCAATATATGTTTATGAGACTAAAGAATAAAAGTCGTGCATAGTGTGACGGAATTCATGATCAATTGATAGAAAGAGATACCTTAAGGTCTCAATATGGGTTAAACACCAAAGCTTTTGATATGTCTCTCCAAAAAACCCAACCTTCCCAATCGAAGTGCCAACATTTAGTACCTACATATTTTAGAAGGTAAATTGTCATGACTATGTAACGCTATAAACTTTAAACCTCTTCAACTTGAACTTACTGAATCTAGATGATCGTCTTCATTGATATCTCCTTCGGTATCAAATATACACATCAATCCATCAACGGAAGCAGAAAGAAGCTTGTTTTGATGATCAGGGATGAAGTGAACCTATTGAAAACATGAAGTTAGATATGCCGCCTAGTTCTATCAAGTTGCATAACCTTCATAATGCAATTTGGCAGAAGAAATTTTTTCACATAGCTAACCTAAACTGTCAAATCCATATGTTAAACAAACAGAAGATGGATTAGAACGAACCTGGGTAACATCTTCTACATGAGAGTCCTCGAGACTTGCTACTTGTTTATCGTTTCTCCAATCCCAGAATAGTATCTGAGTATAACAAGTCAAATAGCAAGAAGGGGGAAAACAAATGAGATATTATCCGTCGAAATAAGTGAAGAATCATAAGCATAAAAACTTAAAATAGTTTTGCATCCAATGAGTTTTAGCAGACTAAAGACTAAATGGGGAATGTTGAGCGCGCTATCCTCTGAAATTTTAGCCTATAACTGACACGATCTTCACTAATGTGGAACATTGAGTTATTGATAACACAAACATAAAACTAGAAAAATAACGGGCTACATGACAATCTTGACTAACTAATGACCAGAGCCGCAAAACACAATTAAAGCTGTTAAAATAAATGCAGCACCTGAGTATCACACCCCGCAGCTAGAAGATTGTTCCCTGATCCTCCGAACGAAAAGCTGAAAATCTCTTGAGAAGAGCCGGAATGGAAAGATGAAACCTGCAGCATTACATATGTTTATGTATGCAAAACATTGTTTGTTTATGTCTGCAACTCGAGAGGCGAACCTGTTGGAATGTGCGCGTGTCCCAAGCTCGAATAGTTCCATCAGAAGAGCAAGAGTGCAGGACATGTGGAGTTGATGGACCTAAGAATGCAATTTGGTTGATAGTTGCAGAGTGGCCCTTGCACTCTCCGTAGTACTGGCCCGTCACGGGCGAGTACACCTTCACGGCGTTGGTCGAAAGCGAAACTGCCATTGCCGTCCAATCATCCCTTCCACCAAAACCCCACAAAAATTCAACACCCAACGAATAATCATAAAACCCAATTAAGCACAATCCTTCTGGTTTCAGATCAAATTTACAAAAACGAAGAGATTGAGGTAAAGTGCGAGCTGAAGAACGCAACTCAAAGGTGGAGTTGTTCAAATCTCAGAATTTTCCTGGGAAACAAACAGAGTAAAAGTTAGAAAAGGGACGTACTTGGGGACGATTTGGAAGACATAGTCGTCGCCGAAGTTTGTTTGGATAGAGTTTTTGAGGGAGATACGCTTGAAAGGATCAGGATTGGACGGTGGTCGTTCCTCCACCTCCATGTCCGTAGCTTCCATCTCTGTCTGTCTCTGTCTCTCTTTCCGGCAGTCCGGCTGGACAAATGAATGTAATTTGGGGTTTAGGGTTTTAGTTCCGGCGCCAGCTAAGGCTGGTTTGGCATTGCTGTCCTTTGAAAAAAAAAAGTTGATTATGTTGTGCTGTGAGAATAAACAGCTGTGAAATAAAGCAGCAGAATATTTGGAAAACTTTTTTGTAGAAGTGCTTTAAAAAAAAAAACAGTATTATAGTGTTTGGTAAACTTTTATGTAAAACAGATGTGAAAAAAAGCTGGTTTTTTCAAAGCTGGGTTTTGCAACTTCTTGTTTTTGGCTTTTTTTTTACCCAAAACTACGAAAAAAAGCTGAAGCTGAATGTTTACCAAACACAAAAACAGCTCCCAGCTTTTTTTTATACCAGTTTTTTTCAGAATCATCTCAGTACCAAACCAGGCCTAACTCTCGTAGTTTTTAGCCCCTTGTTACTACTACATATTTCTATTAATTGTTAAGTGATATTTCTTTTCATTTATAAGTGAGAGGTTTTAGGTTCGATTCTCGCCAATGAGAAATTTGAACCATATTATTATGGCTAATCCATTGTGAGACTTTCCACTTCCGGACGCCTTAGTGCAGAAACTATTGTTTGTTAAAAAATACATAAAAAAATAAACTCTCCTAATTTTTAGTTGGTCTGTAGAGGATAACATTAGATTGTTAGATATTTAATTGTTAAGAGAGAAAAAAATCGAATGGAATCGAACCCGCACTAATATGCATAAGCACTCAACTACAATAAAAGCGTCATATGCAACCAATCTATCATAAACTTATGTGTCATTTTCGCCACATTGTAACCTTAAAATCCATGCAGTGTGTTCCAAAAATGTACAAACACACAAAACTTCGCATGCAACGTTTTAGGCATAAGCAGCATTCTAAAAGATCATGCGTAAACGCTAGAAGCAAATTACCATCCCAATTTATCTCTAGGCATTTAAAAAATAAGGAAAGAAACCTATACCTGCCTAACCTCCCACCCAACCCACTTAGACCTGCCTAGGCAACCGCCTAGACAGTTTAGGCGAGCTAGGCGGTTTAGTGACTTTTCGCTTTATTTGTTTTTATTTAAGAAAATGACTTACTTCGTGACTCTCGCTTAGACAAAAAATTAGTAACTTCCGTTTCACATTTTATTGAAATTTAGTGACCTTTTGCTTTATTTGTTTATTTAAGAAAATAACTTACTTCGTGACTTTCTCTTAGACAAAAAATTAGTAACTTTTCACATTTTTTTTTTTCAAAAAGTTTTAAGAGACTTGTAAGATACTTAGAGGAACATCCATTATATGGTAGTTCCCCTACATTTTTCAATATGTTCTAGTATTTCATAAATTTATAATTCTATAACAAAATTGGGAATTGTTATTAGCACTCCAAAAATCTCATTCTACACTCCTCAGAAGTATATTTTTCTTTCTAATTATAGAAAGTTTGAAGTGCCAAATAAGATTTTTGGAGAGCTAATAACAATTCCCATGAAATTTATATATCTCAAAATAATTCTATAATTTTAAAGTATAAATAAACACTTGTTTATCTCTACTAATTAATAAAACACTGATTGTCAACCAAAATCCTATGAAATTATCATTTTAACCCTCTAATTAAAACAGAACATGAATAAGAAATATGGGGCAGAAATGTAATTTCACATAACCAAATTTTGCTGTTTTTTTTTCAAATTTCATATACATAAAATATGTAAGCAAATATTAGTATAATATAAATAAATTTCATTCAAATAAAAAGTCACCTTAGCCCCGCCTAGCCCGGACGCCATACCCTAGATTCCTACAGCTAGTCGTCTAGAGCCCGTCCGACTAGCGCCTTTTAGAACTAGAGCATATGTAGTGGTACTATTGAATTTTTATATTTTTTGGCTTAAATATTGAATAAACAACTTACATGGCTAAAAATTTATCAAAAACAACATTCTGCCCAGGTTTTGAACCCACAAATTTTTTTTTTTATTAATTTTTAATTATGTCTATAACAAACACAATGTAACTCATAGTGTAAGAGGGTTTACTCATAAGCAGGCAAACAAATCAAATATCCATCACTCAGAGGGCTTGGGTGCCTAAAAAAGGACACTACTAGGAGGATTAAAATCCTTAAAATCCTTAAAATCCAGATCCATGAAACAAATAAGTAAAAGTACAACACGCTGCGTACCGCAACTTCTCTAAACCCAGAAGAACTCATCATTCAGCTAACATGAATGACGGGTAAGGATTGATTCGCACGGTTAGATAAAAACACACCCTTAGTAACTAAGGTGAAAAAAAGAGAAGAAAACACTCCATGGCCATGCAAGAGCTTGGCTGACCCTATCGGCAAGGGTCAGTAACACAAAATTATGCGTTCGTAGTAGCTTCCTTTTTCTCTTCCGAAGTACCAGCTCCGGCCTTACCAGCATCCTGCTCTTCGGCTTCCTTCTTGTCGGTGGCCTCGTCTTCTGGCTTTGACAGTTCTAGGTCTACATTAAAAAGCAAACATTATTGGTAACCAAGACAGAACATGCGACGATTGCTTTAGCAATCTTTATATTACTTATCATCCAACAAATGAACAGATTAAAGTAATTTTACATGCAGCGATAAGCAGGCAAAAAATCCAAAGCAAGAGCTTATTCGAGGTAGAAATATTTAAGACAGAGAATTTGACTCTAAGATTAGGAAGCAGGAGCATTCTCCCAATGCAATGGTCCACATCAAAACCACACCGTAAACTCCTCCTAGGCACCCGAAACCTCAGGACTGAGACTGTCTAGGTAGAGTTATGTCCCAGCACCATTCGTACATTTAAAAATGTGAAAATAACTTTTAATATTGTGGAACGTTTAAGCCTATATCGTGGTGTTTTGAATTCTAGACCTACACTTCCTAATAAGATGTTTATCCTTACTCGCCATGCCACTAAAGATTAAGCTAATAGTCTTCTTACCTTCGTCACTGTCATCAAAGTCACCCATTCCTCCCATATCATCACCTCCCATGCCACCAAATTTCTGCATAGTAAAATTAGAGTCAGAACAAAATATGGAAACTTCAAAACAATCCAGGCAAGGGAAAACACCATAACTTATTATTTACTAACCGAGAAATCCATTCCTCCCAAATCCATGTCACCAGGACCTGATCCTGCTGAAAACAAGAAGTGGCAGTTTAATCACAAAGTACAACAAACACGCTGTTTTCGTCAAATTAAACAGTCTGAGGAAATGCAACAGAATATGGGAGCTGCATACCGGCAGTGTCATCATCCTCATCTACCCATTTGTCCCAATCTACTTTGACATAATGCGGCATCTTTCCATCTCCACGCAATAGCTTATTCCACCATGCTGGCTCCGCCTTCTCCACAATACAAAAGATACTCCTCACGCCAACATTAATTTTGCTTTCCTATAACACAACGCAACATAAATGTCATACAACAAAATAAGAACCAGCATAAATAATAACATCTCATAATAACGCAAGAGCATTTGTGATTGCATATACAAATCCTCACCTCCACATTAACCTTATCAAAAAGATCCAGTTTGAGTTCATACTGGTGATTCTCCGCACCAGCACTAGCCGAGAAGCTGAACACTCCCTCGGGTTCAAGCTTAACCTTGGCGTCCTTTGCATCAGGCAAAAGCACAGTAATGAAAACCTTATCCACCCTTTGAGCCCACTTCACCTCCGGATGACGACTGCAAAATTCGCAGCACGTTTAGCCAAAAACAAGCCCCAAATATGCATCAAAATCAAGTGAATATCACCCATAAAAAAACTAAACTCAAATTCTCTCAGTGATTTCTATCTGTTTTCTATAAATTTCGAAACCAAATATCAACAGCGAATTAAGGACAAATAATTATACTTAAATCATTATAACAGGGATTAATCACAGGGTTCAATCCAACAGATAAAAAATACCCAATAAAGCATAAAGATTCCTATATATTAATTCAATTTCTCGAACCATATTAAACAGAGAAACATGAATAAAATTGTATTTAACTATAAATTACAGAGTTTACAAGTCTACAGAAAGCAATCGGTATCAGAAAAAACATACAAAAATTGCATACCAAAGAAAACAATGGCAGGAATGTAAAGACGAAGAAATCAGAGGGCGAAAGCAGAAGAATTGAATAACATTGAAGAGAAAGAAGAGATTTTTACCTCATGTTTTTGCAGGTAAGGAGAGAGAGAGAGAGTGTGTGTATGTAAAACCCTAGAAGCTGGAAAGAAAGCAGAGAAAGCAGCTTGAGTTGTACGGCCTTGCGGGAAGCTTACGCAATAACAAGAGAGTAATAGAGATTACGCGATGCTTCTAGACTTGTAGGCTTTCTGGGCTTTCGTACAAGGCCCAAACTCTGTGAAATCATTCACAGTAAAATGAAGTGGCCCATTAACTCATATTGCCGACGCCCATTATCTGTGTGTTTTTTTTTTTTTCTTTTTTTCTTTTTTTTTTTTTTATTTTTTTTATTTATTTTTATTTTATACAAAACGATGTTTAGAGAAATGAGTGAGTTGAACATAGGATCTCGAGTGCATAAGTAAATAAATCTTTCATGTTATCATGTATGTTTTAATAACCCCCAGCCAAACGGCACGTAGGCATCACTTTAATTTTTGCTTTGCACATATACCCTCATGTTGGGAGGGGCTTATAGCTCAAGTTACGACATTTTTCTGCACATCTGATGCCTCCTAAAATTTGTTAAAACATGCATCATAACATGAGGGTGTATAGGGTTGGTTTGGTACTGTTGTACTTTGAAAAAAAACAGTTTTTATTGTGCTGTGAGAATAAACTCATTTTTGCTGTTTCACGTTTTCAGGTTTTTTTCACCCAAAATTATAAAAATAAGTTGTTTTTTAAGTTTTTACCAAACACATTTTTGAAATCAGCTTTTTTTTATATCCACTTTTTATAAAAGCACTTCAGTACCAAACCAGTACTATATGTACTAAGTTATGAAATTTCTATGCACATGTGACGCCTACGTGGCATCGACACGAAGGAATTCAAAGCAACTCTCCCTCCCAAAATTTGTTAAAACATGCATAATATAAATATAAATATATATGAGATAGGATCGAGGGACAAATATTTTTACAAATGCTTATACACTCTTTTTAAGCCTTTTGATTACATAACATCCAATGGTTTTTATTTATTCATTAAATGACATGGATGCTTATGTAGATTTTAATTAATATTAAAGATAAAATAAAACGGAAAAAAAAAACATAAAATCTAGAAAATTAAAACTAAAATTAAAAAAGGAAGAAACCCTAGAGAGCTTTCCCTTGAACACTGTTCCAAATGTTCCTTGTCCCAACTTGTCTCTAGATTTATTTGTAATCCGCTTGATATCAGCATATGAGTACCTCGTTGGCCTGAGAGCTCTCTAGTTTTCCAAAAATTCTTCGACCATGGTTTGCCGCTCATTTTGTATTCAGTCAATAAGTATATACGTACACAACGGAGACCGACAAGTATATATTAGTACAAGTGAAAATGAACCAAGGACTGCACCTGCATAGTTTACGTTCAATTAAGAACCTCTACACTAAATATTAGTTACGGAGGACTGCGTACAACTAGGTTTTCTTCCTTTTTTTTAATTTTAGTTTTAATTTTTAGATTTTATGTTTTTTTTCAGTTTTATTGTATCTTTAATATTAGTTAAAATCCACATAAGCATTCATGTTATTTAATGAATAAATAAGAATCATTGGATGTCGTGTAATCAAAATGCTTAAAAAAAGTGTAAAAGTATTTGTAAAAATATTTATCCCTTAATCCTATCCCTATATATATATATATATATATGTATGTATGTATGTATGTATAACACGAGGGTATATGCATGGGCTAAGTTTTCTTTGCGCTCGTAATGCCTGCATGGCATCGACATAAGAAAAGAAATATCACCTTCACATAGCATTTTGAATGGAAAATTTTGTAGGCATGGCTGATGAGAGTCAAAATGACTTTTGAATGACGAAATGGTATTCACGAACACTTTTAGGAATCGATAATCTTTGTGGATCTCGTAGTTTGGTGCTCACGGATTGAGAAATCTAGATCATTTATTTTGAATCATATGGCTCCCATTAATCTATTTCATTAGCCCATCTCACACAAATCAAGAAACCGGATCTTTCTCTACCCCTCTTTTGGACGGTCTAGATTTCTTGGTCTGTCAGTTTAGGACGGTGAGATCTGGAGAGATCTGAACTCTTTAGATAAATTTTCTCAAAATAACAAATTTATCAGATTAATTATAGGACAACAAAAGCACTAACGTCAATAGAGAAAAAAAAAACGAGCTCAGATTAACAAAATACTAATAGACAAAATTCGCACAAACAACTGTAAATACACACATTGTTCATTGGAATTAAGCATACTCTCTTGCAATGAGGTAGGTATATGAAATTTAGGTTCAGGATCCCAGATATCACTTTATCATGTGTAACATCCCACATCGACCAACGGAGATGGGTGATGTGCCTTATATGTACATGCCCACCTCCATATAGCACGAGGCCTTTTAGAAACTCACTGGCTTCGGGTTCCATCGGAACTCCGAAGTTAAGCGAGTTCAAACGAGAGCATTCCCATTTTCACACCCCGATCCCGACATACGTCTAGGATCGACACGTGACGTTACCAAATACTCATCTCAAACATACCTCGCCTCCGAAAAAAAAAAAACAAAACATAACCTAAGTTCCAACTACGCAATAATTCTTCGTAGACTTTATGGTTGCATCTAACATCCTCGTTAGACTGCCTACATACCCTAAATAGGGATCAAGCCATTCATAGTTCATTATCACAAAGTCAGACGTTTATTCCACTAAGTTCAAGCAGAAAAGCATAGCATTCATCAATCATTTATTATAACCTGACATGTAATTCCTAGACTCAAGCTACATAATCAACCCCCATGAAAAAATGATTTCTCTCCCATCCAACATATAAATCATTATGTCTCATCATGATATCGCAATTCACAACATACATCATATTTAAGAACCGACGAAACACAAAACCATTCTCTAGCCGCATTATTTAATTAATTTGCTCAAAGTAATAACAATCATTCCCATATCTTCTAAATTCATACCTTATGAAATCATAATAGAATCATAGAAAATCCCGAAGGAGTGACTTAGACGTCCAACATCTTTTCTAACTCAATTCACAAGACTCTCGAAACCATTGACACAAATATATATATATATAAAAAAAAAAAAAACTAAGGCTAGAGTGACACAGTTAGACCAAGCCTACTTCTCCAAACAATGAGATTTTAGGCCACTCCACGAAATTCAACAACCTCAAGTTCCAGACCACTCAACGGAACCAAACCAATATGATCGCCCAAAAATGTACCATGTACAACTAATCCTCATCACCTTTAGAATGCGTATGGTCCCCTATCGCGGATATACCAAGCAAGACCATAGGCATAAACTCATCATGCAAGTAGTGATCACCCATCACGGTATCTGGTCCCCCCTATCACGGATATACCAAGCAGAACCATCCATGTACCACAACTATGTGGTGCAATCTCATCATCACATATTACACATAATTATACACATAGATGCTATCGATTCCACATATCAACCAACATCAAGTTAGATGGAGCACAACACAAGGAATTCCCTTAATTACTATTTCTACTAAAAATCTAATAAAATACCTAACTCATCTCCCGACTTCCATCTCCATCTCATGCTAGGTAATAGTGCCAAGTTCAAATAGGTATCCAGTTGGCAAACATATCCAAATAATTATTATACAATAATTAGCTCCCATAATTGTCATAACATTCATCATAATTATTATTCACATTATTAAAAAGTTAATCAAACACATATATCACAAACATCATCAATACACAAGTCAAATCATAGTTAATTAGCATAGGTCTATGACTAAATATATAAAATTCACATTTCAATAGAAATCATAATTATAAGACCAATTTATACTCACAAATGATGCTAATATAAGAAATTAAGATAATAATCATATTTCATATATTCAAGTCGCTACCAACCAATATAGGCCCGTAATACCCTAAGGTCCGTAAACCATATCTACAATAGCATACTAAAATTTGGTGTCAATTCAATGGTAAGATCGTCAATTGTTAGAATATTCAAGTGGCGGACCTTATCGAAAATATACTCAACCAACAGCATTTCATAAATCAAATGTTACATATCGGAAAATTCGACTTTTTCCAAAAATTCTCAAATTTCACAAGAATGAAGATCTCAACAAGTAGAGTAAATTATATACCTGCGGCGAAGGTCAATTTGGCCGGAAAACACCCAAAACTGGCCACGAACCGCCGGAACCCTAAGGTGGGTGTTCTTCAATTCGACTTCCTCGATGTTCCAACGCCCCTACAATTGAAGTTGATTAAGGGTGGTGGTGGGTGATGAAACTCACAGGAACCGCGTATCGACGTGGAGAACCTCCGAGTTCTCCGGTACAGTTCTACTCAAAATTGGCCTTAAAAATCCTTGAATTTGAGCAAATATGGTAGATGAGAGGTTGTGGAGTAAGTTGTAGGTGGAGGAGGGGTGAGAATGGCCTGAAAAATGGTGGAGATTGACCGGAATTCGGCCAGGTTGAAGTCGGGTTTGTGGGTGCACGGGTTGATGAAATGGAAGGGGGAAAAAATCCCTCTTTTTCTTTTCTTCTTCTTTCCTTGGCTGCTGACTCACCTTTTTTTTTTTTTTTTTTTTTTCAAATCTGATTGATCCCCAAAATTTACTCACATCTCCTCGGCCCAAATTCCCACATGCTGGGGGTTAAACTAATTTAAAAATTATAATTTAGTAGAACAACTTTAAATATCTGTAACTATACTGTTATAATCTGGACTCACAAATAGCCTTTGCCTATGCGCTCGTAGCTTCGAGATCTATTCGAAAACGTTACTTGTGACCTCAAAAGGTCAACGAGTAAATAATAATTTTCCAAACTTCACACTTCGTAACTAGTTTAATTGAAATCTAATTTCAAATAAATTAATATAAATTCTCGAAAAATAATATAAAATCTCAATAATACAAATACGTAGATTATAACAGTGAAATCTGGAAACGGGATTTCACATTCTTTCCCCCTAAAAAAAATTTCGTTCTCGAAATTTCCAGTATCAAATCACTATTCACGAATGCAACAATTCAAGAAAATGGTGATGCACAAACACATTCACATTTCAGCTATAACCAGATTGAGTTAACTCAAGTTCGATCACATTGTACCTCAACTCACAAA